ATGTGCAAAGCCTCTTCACCAATGAGGCTAAAGATTGGTATTGGCGTTACAGGCGGTCTGTCGAGCGGGTGACGTGGCCAACATTATGTCAAGCACTTCGTACAAATTTCCAAGAACACAGAACGGATACGGAAATTAAAGAGTTAATTCGAGCTAGAAAGCAAGGCCTTAACGAAAGTTTTGAGGATTTCCGAAATGCTATCTTGAAATTGGCGGAAGGTTTACAAATACTCTCATTTTCGTTGTTGGTGTTTCCGACAGGGTAGGAGTGTGATGTAATGTGGAACGATTTTCCGTCATCGAACGGAAAATGACACTGAAGATGGCACAACGCCGAAACCGGTTTGTCTCCAAACCAAATTTGACAAGGGATGACGGAAAATCGTTTACAAATACCTTTACCTGAGTTAGAGCTCGTTGAAATCCTTCAGAGAAATTTGCGTCCTCGCATTCGACAACAGCTACTATACATACCCGTAACCTCACTTGCAGAACTGCGTAAATTGTACCTGAAAGGCGAAAATCTTTTAAACGAAGTCTCAAAATCAATTGTGCCCACTGTGCCACCCAAAAATCAGCGGCAGTTACCCCGTCGTCTTATAAACGAACTGTACGACAATGGCGATATCATAGAGAGAGTAGACGAAGTAGTTGAGATCGATGACATACATAAAAAGACAAACAAGACTAATTTAGTGTGCTGGAATTGTCGCGCGGAAGGCCACCGATTTTGCGACTGTCTTGCAGATAGGACAATATTTTGCTACGGCTGTGATTCTGCGGGAATATACAAGCCGAACTGCACCAAATGTAGGTCGGAAAACTTACAGAAGAGCGAGTTTCTCCACCAGAATCCTCGCTACGACATAAAACACAAGACATAAAAAAGTTTTTAACACGCCACGATGCCCCGAATACTCAGAAAAGTCCGTTTTTAACAAACATAATACGCTATGAGGTTCGCCTACGTAATTACAACATACGGCCATACGCGGAGGTGGAGATATTGGGTGAGAATTGTTTAGGTCTCCTTGATAGTGGAGCCCAGGTTTCCTGTATAGGGGG